CCCCCCTTCCTTTGTTCTTCCCGCTATTTGCATGAAGATTATCTAATGACGCAGCCAGGCTCGCCACAACGTGACCGTCGCCATTTTTCTGTTTTTATTCTGTCTCTGCCATGTGATAGATTGGGGGTGGGGGAGAGTTGGGAAAGGAGAGGGAGAGACAGGATTAAAAACACAAAACATCCGGGTCTCGTGACCAGGAAGGGAGAAAAACAAAAGGGAGACCCAACTCCACGGAAAGGATGTGTGTGTGCACACGCGTGTGTGTGCGCGCGTGAACACCCGCGCGTGCGCGCCCTGCCCTGCTCAGCTCAGAGGAGACTCTTGCAGCGAGCAGGGTGCACCTTCCACCCCAGGGAGCCCCGCTGACCCCAGTGGCTCTGGGTCTCCTTCTCTACCAGTGGCGGTCTCCTGCCGGGTCCCTAAAATTCCGCGAAGCTGTCAACCTGGCTCCTACCTCCTGTCGCCTCTACTTCCAGCCTGTCTGTCCCCGAGCTCCTGCTCCCTTTCTTCTGGGGTGACTACCTTTCTGGGTTACGTTCAGATCCGTGGGTCACCACGAAAGGATAAACAACAAAGTTTTAAAGGCCACGGTACTTCCTAAGTTTCGAAATACTTTGCTTTGACGCTGTTGTTTATGACAACCGCCTGGCAACACCAGGCAGAATTTAATATTGGTTGGCATCTTTCCCCTTTCGCTACTCCCTTCTTCCCCCTTCCTAAAGTGGGACACACCCTCGTGTGGCATTCTATGGGCCATTTTTCGCAAATTGATTTAGGAAGAAATTTTAAAGAAATGGTCGTTCACGATAAAGGGGATTGTTTCAGAAGAAGGCTGCATGGGGCTAAATGGATTTCCGTTGAATTCATCGGATTCACACCCAACGGATCTGATCAACATCGCATTCTCTAAATCTTGTGTTCAGGGTTGCTGGAATAGAAACAATATTTGGGAAGCTTGCCACGTTGCTTAGTAAGACGTGAAATGTTGTACTCTTGCTCACTACTGTGTCTCTCAGGCACTTTCACTTTTGTTTCTCTCGCGAGTTTCTGGTTTCGTAAGTCAGAGCAGAAAACGACTTCAGAGTCCACTAGGGTCTCCTCACTTATACCAGTGGGAATCGCAGCGAGTTTGCATCGAGCTCTTCTCACCTGTTAACAGGTAACAGGGAGATGATAGCGGAGAGCCGATTGGTGATAGGTAGCAGTGATTCTGCTGTGTGAAATTCACCTACAAATTACAGATGGACAACACCTGGTCATGTGTTCTCCAGACACGTGCAAACGTGAGGACTTGTTCCAAGCTCACTGTCTTGGGATTTTAACCAACTGTGTCTGTTAACTTGACTTCTGCTTCACCTCCTGGGAGAAGTTGTCATTTCTCCATAAGCATCCTCCCCTGATTGTGATGAATCCTTTTTATTATAATAACAGAATTGGTGAGTCCTCTGGGCATCCAGTATACCCCTTTTCTATGTCTTCCGTTGTGCCTCGCTCACTTCTGTACAAGGAGCTGCGTTCTCCCTGCGCTGTGAATGAGTCTCCCCCTACCAGACAATACGCTTTGAGGACTAGGGCCATGTCCCGTTCAATTTGCATCTGCCCAACAAGCAAACGAAGTCCTGGGATAAGATCTTTTTCAGAATTCTACACTGACCATTCTAAGGGATTCTAGATTTTTACCTTTTTGACCAAGGGGAATTGGGAGTAGTGGGGGCCAAGACTATAATCCAATAAAGCATTTTGCTTTCTCAATTCTTCTTTTTTTTGTTTTAGCCAAATGCTTCCCCCACCTCAACTTTACCATATTTGGGTCCTCATCTTCAAAGGACTATTGCTTCCATAGACTCCAAACATTTAGTGACGTTTATGTTGTGATTTAACCCTGTTCAGCCTAGCAACACAAAATCACCGGCAGCATTCCCAATGTAACTGATTCTTCCTGGGGCCACTACACTAGGCAGGGAGGCTGGCAGTTGAGCAGGCTGAAGCTGACTGCTGTAAAGGTTGTGTTGAGGAGTTTAAAGCAATGGTTTTGATCTTGCAACCAGAGGTCTAAGTATCAATGCCAAGAATTCTTCTGAGGTTTGGGGAATGCATGTTACTGTTGTTAGTGGATTCGACTTCAACTCATGCAAAAAGAAATGGGCACAAAACGGGCCTATCGGAATATCAAGTTTTCACTGGCTAATTTTTACAAGCAGATTGCCAGGCCTTTCTTC